GGCACAGGAATGAGGCACATCTGGTTCCACAGTGGGAAAGTGTGTTTCTTAACACGGTTCTGTTTTACGGACACAAAAGACAAAAAAAAAAAAAAAGTCCTGAATCCGATTCACTCTTCCGCAAACTTTCATGGAGAACTTTTAATTAATTAATAAAAAACATGAGCTCCTTGTGGATTTAGATAAAAACTAAAGATGTAAACGAGGTTTCTCCGTGGCTGTTTGCAGGGATCCCCACCGTGTTCGTCTTTGCATGGACGATGACGAGGATTTATCTGGAAGACACCGGGTGAGTGCCGGCAACTGCATGACCACGTGACTCAGGAGGAATCTCCTCCGACGTGTTGTCTGATGTGTGAAGTCGGTTTTTTAATGATCTCTTATCTTCTCGTTCATTATGAGAAACTTCCACACACACAGAGATCTGTAATTTCATTAAGTCCACAAATCACATCGTATTGATGAGGTTCCGTCAGCAGACATGAGAACGTTGAGTCTGGTTCCTCGGATCTCTTCGTCTCCAGCTGCGGCTCATTATTAAACAATCTGCACGGAGGTTTTCTACAAACGTCTCTACGACAATAACAAGCAGCGAGGACTCAGCTCCACAGTGTCGAGAACGGAACTTCAGCAGGAACGTAAATGTGTAAATATTTAAAGAATAAGTTTACAGACATGAATATGTACAAATGCGTAACTGTGTAAACACTGAAACACATTTTGTGTAAATCAACTCAAGTATATGAAGAAACTACTCAACCTGACATTTGCAATATAAAAATAGTATTTATGTAAACACAGTATACAGCTCTGGTGGAAAACACAGAGTTTTATATAAAATTATATAGTTTCATCTGTCAATTAATACGAGATGCACATAAGATCTGATTTGCGTGAACAACTTTTTTTGTCGAGGAGCCTGACCCAGATATTGTGTTTACTGATATTTGACATTAGTGTTTTTCACGATGTCCCCAGATGCTGGGAGAGGAATGACAACCCTATACCCAACTGGGTGATCAACGGACCAATAGGATTCTCCATTACGGTGGGTTGACGTTCATTCACTCTCTGTTTGTCGGCAGGTGCTCACCACTAGATGTCACTAGATTCTACACAGTGAAACTTGAAGTGTTTCCTGTAAAAACAGATTCAACGCGACAATTGGCGCTGAATTTTAAACAGACGTATAATAAATGCTTTGTCCTAATTCAGAGGACGCTTCCTTCGAAAGGACGCGGTCTGGACAGGCCGTTGTCTTCGTGCGTCAGGCAGATAGAGATCGACCACTAGTGACGTTAGTGATTTTTTGAAGGAAACAAAAAAGAAACAGACTTTTGTGATTTACTTCTCACGCAGTGATTTCCGTGGGTGGGAAAATGTTCAACGTGGTAAAAACCAAAATCACAGTTCCGTGTTTCTGAGGCTCAGCTGTTGTGATGACTTGGCTCTTTCCTTCCTGTCCCCAAGGTGAACTTCATCCTCTTCATCAGCATCATTCGGATCTTGGTTCAGAAGCTGAGGTGTCCTGACGTGGGCGGCAACGACCAATCACAATACAGGTATCTCACACGAGGCGAGGATGTGAACAATAGATCCCCTCTCTACCAAGTTTTTCCCCAGCATGCACCCTGAGACAGGTTCTTTGTGGTCAGGTGCTCTCGTGTCGCAGCTTGAATACATTCAGTTCTCACTCTACGTGAATTATTACAGAAATTAAACTCGCACAAACTCTGACTTTAAGGTAGAAAAACTCTGCAGTGTTGCCACGAAATGTTACCATGCTTGTTTTTCCTCGATAAGAAAATGTCTCTCAGAGACCAGGGGGGACGGGTCCGTGCGTCTTCAGCGCTGTTGCTGTTAGCTACCGATCACGCAGTCGGCGCCATTAACGTTGTGTTGTCGCTGGATTTAGCACTCGTGCTTTATTTCTCAGAGCCGAGCTTTTGTTGTTTCAGCAAAGATTCTGTACAATGTACACACGATGTACATGTACAGATACACAGATGTATATACATCTGTATATACAGAGCTGTGTACGGAGTTGGACCAAAATCTGTATTTCATGAAAATGATCACAGTCTCATAATTGGCTCATCCTTTGCTTTTATTTGTTTTACATACCAAAGTGTTAAAGCTTTGAAACAAACATCAGTTAAATGCTGCGACTGACATGTGCTCCTCTTGTGTTTGTGTCTCAGGAGGTTGGCCAAATCCACTCTGCTGCTGATCCCTCTGTTTGGGATCCACTACGTGGTCTTCGTGTCTCTGAGTGAATCCATCGCAGAGGATTATAAAATATTCTTTGACCTGGCCCTCGGATCCTTCCAGGTGCTTTGTTGGTCGTCCCTTTCAACCACGCTGTCGCCGCTTGTTGTTATCGTTGGTAAATCAGAGTGCTGGTGTCAGGGGTTGATCACGCCCAGGTCTTTTCAGAAAGAAAAATCGTTTCAAAGAATTCTGGGTGTTTATTTCTGTACAACAACCATTTATCTTGGAATTATTGTGGAGTAAGAACGACTGGCAGCAAGAGAGGCCCCAAAAAACACTGGCTCCTGAAAACAGTTCCATTCCAGGACGCTTTGTTTTTATTCTTTACTTTTATAAATTCTAGATTTAATTTTAAACGAGAGTCTTTTCAAATTCAGGACAAATGTTCACTCACTGATTTACTGATTGGATTTGGGTGGTGAAAGGTCAAGGGTCAAGTTCATGATGGCCTCTCATGCTCTGGCCTCTTCAACAAGAAATTTCAAGTTTGTCTTTAGGGAATTAAAGTTTTGAGCAGTTGGACTCAAACACGAACAGCTTCAATTTTAATGATCACGTGATATTATATTTCACATAAGTTGAGGTTACTCATGATTATTTGATCATGTGTGACATTAAGAACAATTAAAAAAACACATTTAATTGTCTTTCTTTTCTCACTATATTTAAAATGTGAAAAATCGTTATAAAACTAAAGTTTCCTCAGATAATTCTACTTTTGACAGATTTGTACTCGGTTGTTTTTCCACCCAGGGTCTGGTGGTGGCCATCCTGTACTGTTTCCTCAACAGCGAGGTAAGAGCTCATGATGTGAAACGACACAACACAGAATATGGTGTTAAGTCTTTTTAACTTTATCTTAATTTAGCAACATGCTCAGCTAATTCTAATAAATCAAATAATTACTCTTTTCTTACACTAGATTTTCATTTCCTTGCCATTTTAATTTGTTCATTTCTTCTTCTGTTCCTAACGTTTAAATATGTTCAGATGATTCCATTGCTCTACTCACTTGCTCTGGCAGGTTCAAGGCGAGCTGAAGAGGAAGTGGAGGAGCGTGTGTCTGAACTGTCGTCCGAGCAGAGGTCGCCACTTCAGCAGCGCCTTCGCCTCCAGGAACGGTTCAGAGCACATGATGCAGCTGCACCGCAACTCCCGAACCCAGTCCATCCTGCAGTCAGAGACCTCAGTGCTGTGAGGACTGGAGAGTTCAGGTTCCAGCTTTACAAACCTCGGTGAGGCGTCACGGAGGCGCCGCGACTGGACCTAAGGACCCTCTGACCGGTCGGGGCGTGCAAGTGCGAGAGCCGCAGTGTTTTTAAGCCGCGTTGAGAGTCGAGACATTTGAAGCCAACTTCACATTTAACCTGCTCTTCCTGGAGCCGTGCACACGAGTGAGGTACATGTATACATTTTAACTTGTATATGTTACACGTATGAATTAAATATTTATAAAATATAAATGTATATGTGTGTACGAGAAATGGTGCCATTATTCTCGTCAGGGATGTTTCCATCCTTTGGGCTTTAGGATGGAAACATGTCCCTTACCGTCCTCTGGTTTTCACTGTATCATCTATAGACATACACATATTTATACAGCTGTTAAATGAACAGGGTAAATGGTAAAGATAAGGCCATAGAAGCAGTGTGTTGGAAGTGAAACTACGATTTCACGGAAAGTTCGCAACACTGTGCGTAAACCAGTCAGCACAACTGACCTGGGAGAAATCTATTCCAACGTAACATCATATGTGAGACGAGTCCCGGTGAAACAACAGCACGAGTCGTCTTTCAGGAAATGCAGGCAGAGGAGTTAAACTCGTTTGTTTTCCATTTCCTGCCGACAGTGTGCGGTGACCATGGCTTTCATCTGATTCTCACCATTCTCACGCTGAACCCAACTTCAGCCACTGAGGCAGAGAATCAGAAAACAGTTTTTAAGGCTGTTTAATTTGGAGGAAAGACCCAGTGGTAAATTTCTACAACACAACTATGTTCTCGTTTAAAGGTTCAGTGTGTAGAATATTTAGTGACATCTAGTGGTGAAGTGTCATGTTGTCCCCCCCCCTCTCCTTCCAAACATGAAGAACCTGTGGCAGCTTCAGTCGTCATAAAAACTCAAAAGGTTTTAGTTTGTCCAGTCTGGACTAATGTAAAAAACATGGCTGCCTCCGTAGAGAGGATCCCCTCAACGTAAATATAAAGTATTTAAATATATTTAAATATAAAGTATTTCAATATATTTAAATATAAAGGGTCTTTTCTGGGGTAAAGAAAACTACAATTCATATAATTTAGCTTCACCTGAATCTTTCACACTGGACCTTTAAAACGCATCAAAACTCAAAACTACTCCGGACTTTTAGAGCCGCTAAAACATAGAATCTTGAAACCGCACGCGGAGACGTTCTGAGAAACTGAAACTTGAGATTCTGTTTCCTGTTTCCAGTTTGACGACAGATGTTTCAGAAACTACTTGGTCGTCGTCAGTGAACTGATTAGATTGTACTGCTTCACTGAAGGAACGTGAATAATGTTGCTTTTATTCACGCGGCTTTGCGCAGCGGTTGCATGATAATCTTTTTTTTATTGCTCTTGATATTTGCCTGTCGTCGTGTGATTTTCTTGAAGAATTGAAACCGTTGTCAACAAAAAAAAGAAAAGTCTGCTTTGTTTGTAATGTGCTACGTTTTTCTGTTTTAGTCTTTGCAGCAAGAAAAAAACTTCTTGACTTAAGAAGAAGATACGGAAGAAGTTTATTTCGTCCACCACACAGCCCATTATTAAGATCTTCGGTTAACAGAGGTGTAAAGCTGCTCACTGTCCAGAATTCCTCTTCTTAATTCAACATCGTGGTCGGTTTCCAATCATATGAATCATATTTTAAAATAATACAAATTAAATAATTTAAGTTCATTAGCAGCCGGACTCGACCGTTACCTTAAAAGATACGACAAAACGCCAAATCTGACCTCAATTCTAAGAATCGAAGAATCTGCTGGCGTTTATCACGAGGAGCTAAATGAGTAAATGTTTTGTAAATGTTTTGGTTAAATTTGGCGACAACGAGGAAGTTGAGGGACCTGCAATCTCCTGGTTTTTTTTATTTTTTACACACACCTGTATCATCTGCATAACAAATGTTTTTTAGAATTCATTTCACAGGTGAAGTATTCGAACGGAGATTAACAGGAGGCCGAGGATGGAACATTGGGGAACTCCACAATTCAGATGAGCTGTGAACTCACGTTGTACAATGACACGAGAGTGAATGAGATTTAACATGTGTCCTCCAGTTTCAGTCTCAAAGCCTGGACGCAGCACTTACATCCACCAAGTGCGTCTGACAGGGAAACCTTTCAACTGAGTAAACACTCTGTAAAAATACTTCTCTCCTAAGTACAAATATACACAATAGATGTGTCTCAGCAGGATGTAAATGTAATGCATAAATATTTAATTTGGAAACGTTTCATCGCGTCTATGACGGAGAAGAAGAACTTTCGATGAGTTTACAGCTTTAGCTCTGCCTGACATTATTTTTTATTATCTGTGAATCTGCTGAATATTTAATTAATTCATTGTAAATGTAAATATAATGAATTCTTGTCCCGAGAAAACCTGATGAAATGCACTTTCCTGTCTTGGACGATAAACGGACCAGCTCATGAATTAAGATGTTGTCAAATACAAGCAAACAATGCATTCATTTATAAGAAATATAAATAAAACCAATACGAGTTGAAGTGAGTGGAAAGAGGCTCTCAGCTGCCATGCAAATATCACAATACCAAACCCAGCACAGCTGCATGCCTCGAGGGAAGTGCTGCCAAATATCTACGATGTCTCCATGTTACTCGTCTCTGTGACTCTAAGTGGTTGAGAGTTTTACTGTCGACTGACTTGATGCCTGTGTGTCTTTATCGAACACGTGTATTTGAATTGAGACACCGTGAATGTCATGTAAAGATGACTGATAAAGGCTCCTTTGTAAGAACTGCACCGTGTGAACAGAACTCTGTGGATCTCTGAGTTTATTTTAAAACTATTGAGCGAAGGCGGCTTCAGTAACCCGCCCCGCCACAGATAAACTATGCTGGATCAGTTCCCGGGGATGTGACGTGTGTGTTGACGTTCCTCCCTCATCCTCCTGTTGCACCCCAGCACATTTTACTTGGCATCGCTGAAATCATATTTGAGGGTGTGTGGGTCGTTTAATCCTCGTGAAGCTTTGTAACATCTGTTCCTCCGTTGGCTGAGGTGGAGAACTCTGCACACAGTCTGTTTGCTTTGTGGTCACATCGCTGCTCTGCCATTTTCTGGGAGAGGGTTAAGATGTGTTTTTGAATGTGTGTGTGTGTGTGTGTGTGTGTGTGTGTGTGTGTGTGTGTGTGTGTGTGTGTGAGACTTTAATTACTCCATTTAAATGAGCAGAGTGAGTCAGAGCTGTCAATCCGTTTTCTCTCGCGGTGCTTTTAACTGCTCTCTAATTATCAGCTCGTCAGTGCATTAGCAGTGGACTGCAATCTGCCAGAGAAATGCATAATGGGAACATCATGTGCATTATTTTGAAAAAACTAAATCTCTGTTTGCCTTGTAGGTATTTTAATTACCTTAAAACAGATTTAATATTAATTTACACTTACAGACACAGAAAAAAGGAGAATTTCTCTCTAAAGTAGTGAGACGCTGAATATTATGTCCTGTTTTATCAAAATAACAAGAATAATTAGACACTCCGACACTCTGTTCTGACTTTTTATATCAAACAACAAGAAACTCAGACTTTATCTCAAAATAACAAGAAACCTTCTCAAAATGCTGACACCGTGTTCCCACTGTTCACACCCGGACTGTCCCAGCTCGCTTTTTTTAAAGGAACGATCACATGATCGTAAAATCCTTCTTGTCGTTTAATGAACCACCTGTTTTACCATCTGATGAGTCAGAGGCCTCATGGATCTGTTGCTCACACATGTGGATCATATTTCAACATTTTCACCAACACAGTTCAAATCATTTAGAACCAAAACAATACATGCAGCTGTAGGCTTGGGGACGGGCGACGGAGAGTCACAGACTGAAAACTCAGTTTTGTGAATTCTAGATGCCTTGATCGGAGCTGGCAGAGCAACCTGAGGCGAAGACGCCGCTAATTGGGACGAAGAATGAGGGCGGGGCGAAGGGTCCACGTTAGGGCGATGACTGAGCACTTAGCTTTGTGTCGCTGGTTGTTGTAAACCACCGTCCTCCAGAGGGGGAGGGGGATTCTGTCACTGCTGTTTCTTTAAATGTGCAGGCGCGGAAACAAAATATGATAAAGGAGGAAAGTAGATGATAAAAGTACAGAAAGCTCCACTGACACATCTCCGCTCCAGTGTGAAGTACCAGAAGCTCAGTAAGGCTGACTCCACTGTATTTCAAAGCTTCGTGCATTTTCTGTACTGAACCTGATTCTCATGTGGCCACATTTCAAACGATGTGTTTTTTAATGAGCGAGCTCCAGATCAGTGAGAACAGACCCCCCCGGCCGTCTGGGTGTTTCATCTGTGTGCGACAAACATCACCAGTGTGGGTTTTTTTCCTCTCTTCATTCAAGAGCGTGGTCTTTCAGTGTGACAGCAGGGCCTTCGGATTTCGTGAGGCTTTCACTCGAACCCTTGTGCTGGCTCTCAAATAGCCACTGCTTGTGCTTAAACTGTGCGTTTGCGCTCAGGTCGTTGCTTGGACGAATATTTCGGGAAGTTTTAGGTGAAACTTTGCAATAAGATGGAAAAGAAAGAACCGATGACACATAGCAGAACCCAATTGTTTTTTCAAGACCCTGATTTCTCTCATAAAGAACATGCTAATGTTTCTGGAGGACTGAGGACATGCTGCGGCAGCGTCCCATCCACTGTCTCTGATGTGTCCTCTACCTGTCACTTGTAAGTGGGCAGACTCTGATTAAAGCTCTGAGGGGAAGTCATGGTGACTGTTTGTGTATAAATGTAGGGTGACCGGTTGATAAGACTGACAGCCTGGCGCGGGCAGTTAGAGGCCGGTGGAGGTTTGACGTCACCGACGGAACAGGTCGTTACAGCAACGACCAGAGCCGGTCGGTGGGAGGGCGAGCTGTCACTCCGCTTCAGCCTGACCGTAGCCAAGCTGATGTCAGTTATCCGAGGCAAAACTCTACCTCATCACCTTGGAGCAAGTTCAAATAAATCAAATGAAAGTCAACACTTCTGAGCCTTTGTCATAATCGAGCCTTTCCTTCATTCATTATCGCTCCTGGTTCTTTTCAGTTTCTGTGTTTCCTGCAGCCTCATGGCGGGTCAGACCTGTGCTAATCGGAAAAACTGGCGCTGGC